TCTAAATGGCTGTGGCAATGAAAATGGATGGGGCTTTATAAGCCTTTGACGCCCTAACTCTGGAGCACAGGTGACACTAGGGACTGCTAATTGCATCCCCAGAGAAGATGTCACTCTGTATTGGTTCCTTAAAAATATCTCCATTGGGCCCTCCCTGATGGCGCAGCGGGTTAAAGCACAGCACTAAGTTAAAGCCACTTCCGCATGAGTTCGATTCCCGCCTGCCCCGGAGGTGACCACATGGCGTGGCAGACCTCTCCTGATCCGCCCGCTGCGCCCCTCAGCAGTGTACTTCGTCGATCTGCCTGTTCTGCTCCCCACTCTGTCTCTGGTGAAGCCCCTCACCGCCCTTGAGCCTCTGGCCTGTACCCCAGTTCTGTATGCACAAATAAATAAATCTTTAAAAAAAAAAAAATCTCCATCCAGAGGCTTTATTAGGACCCCTCTCCTGACTTCTTGGCATCAATCTGAGCCTGTATTATAGGAATGAGTTCAACTCCATGGCAACTCAAAGACAGTGACAAAAGCTACGTTATCAAAGCCACTCATCTTCATTCAAAGATTCATAATTGCAGAAAATGGAATATCGAAGACCTAGCAATGAATCTAGACTAAACTCTACCTATAAATGATAATTTTATTATGCCATTATCTTCCCTGCATTTGCTACATTGGATACGATTAGCTTAGTTTTTATTTAAGGAATGAAGTAAACTTTCAAGGGAGGATTGTCTTCCAAAAAACAAACAAACAAACAAAAAAACTTCCAACAGATTATTATATTACTTTTATTTTTTATGATTTTACTTCTGGTGAGAAGAGGCAGGAAGTAAGTTGGAGTCAAATAGCATATTTAAAAATGAAGTTTTCGTATTATTTTTGAACTTTTCTATTACACAAATATATTTTAACCACTGGCTATTTTAAATATGTACTTTTATGCATGTAGTGACTAATAAAGCTAAGTAGTATTCCAGTTTTAGTAAATCTTGTGCTTCTGAAGTAAGCACCAGACTCATCCAACTCTAGAAAGAATTGCTTCTGCTATAATTCTCTTCTCTGTGGTAACATTCTCTTTATAGCAACACTTTTGTCACAAGATTTTTCTCTATTGGGTTTAAATTTGCACCTGCAAGGACATTTGAAAAAGTATGAATGCATGAACATGGGATTGTAATGGATGTTTTACAAGAACATTAGCAAACAAGTCACATGAAAAACCTAGGTGTGGTGACTTTGGGCTCATCATATAAATTTCCCACCCTGTTCTCAAATCAGATTGTCAAATATCAAAGGAGTTTCAGATGAAAAATGTTATTAGAAACTAGTATCTGGTTACTGGTTGTGTTTCTTGCTGGTGAGATGCTCACATGCTATCCCAGGCTCCTCAATGAGTGAGCCAGGCTGAGCCAGGCTGAGCCAGGCTGTAAGCTCATGGTCCTGCTCCTGCAGTTTACAAACATGCAGGGGGTTCATTGTGGATGTTTGGAATTTTTGTTTGTTTGTTTTGCCAGAGGGTTCTCCATGGCAAACAGAAGTCATTGATCTTCTAACTTCAATCTCTTGAGCAGAAGGTAGGGCAGAGGTAAATGTTTTCCAACATGTCCAATAAAATGTAGATTTTTTTTGTCTGATCATGTGTTTATACATAGCTATAATTATTTATGCATATAGCCCTCAGATTGTATAGTACGTTGAACATGAGTTTATTCTTTTTTAAATTATATATATATATATTATTTTATACCATTCTTCATTTTGTAAATTTTTTCCATCTCAGTTGTAATCCCCATGGATTTACCATCACCAATGCACCCATGTGCCATCACCATAATCCCATATGTTTTCCATATGTTTTGATCCTGTTCCTCTCGCCTCCCCTGTAGAATGTTTCTGCTTTATAGTTGTTCACTGATTTTCATTTTTACTTTATTACAATGACTTTTGTTTTGCTTGATCCCTTACTCTCCTGCTATGAGTGAAACCATCCGGTACTTTTCTTTTTCTTTCTGGCTTTTTTCACTAAGTGGAACGTGAGTTTACTCTTGTGTAACTAGCACTAATCCATTATCACATAAATCATTGGGTCTTTGTGTTTTTTTCTGTAATCTCCTAACTCAATAGTGAACAACTATCACTGATGATGTTATTATCCATTTACTTAATTCTTTAATTCAGTTTAATTGCATAGTGACTTAAGAATTTTTAAACCATGTGTAATTTTATAGCTGGAGGACGGAGCTACAAACATTTATTTTTTTAAGAAGCCAGGCCCAATGTATTATTGTACTGAAGTAAGGGTGGTTGTCAACACTGCAGTTACAGTTAATTGTACCTTAAGTATTACACACTCGTTTCCAATGAAATTTTAGTCAGGACATTGGTCAGGGAAGTTTAACCCCAAAGAATCTTTCCCTTCATTAATAAACGTACCCTCCTCTTTTTCAGTATATGAATGCCTTTCCTTTTGTGTAAACCCTTGCCATGTCTAAATAGAATGCTGACTGTTAGAACTCTAAATTTGTGAATTTTGTTATTTTCAAAAATAGGATGTTGCTTCCTAAGCAGTTTCTTTTGTGGTTTTTTTTTTCTTTCACAAATAACTGTCATATGCAAGCTGGATTTCTCGTGTATACTTTTTCCATCCAAGGGTTTAACTCTATCCATTGTCTTCATAAAATGCCATCCAATTTCTGAAAATCATCTGCAGTCAACATTTCTCAACGGGCTCCATGTTTCCGTCCGCTTTTTGGTAACAGTTTTCACATTATATGTCTTACAGAAAATTACTTCCACTGAGATACCTTGACTAAATCCCTTAAGAAAACAGAACATAATCCGAAGTACAATTTTGTTGTTTTTCCTTTAGTGTCATCAGTGTTTAAATTACAGGAATTCGGGCTGCGGCTCGCCTGCAGTGCTGTGCTTTAATCCATTGCACCACCATGGGGCGCTATATATATATCTATCTATATATGTGTATATATACACATATACATACATACATATACATATACATATACATACATATATATATATATAGTGTTTTATGTCAATGTTTGTCAATAAAAATAATATAATCTGGTCTGGGCTTCCTGGTGGTGCAAGGGGTTAAATCAGAGCATTATGAAGCCACCTGGAGCTACCGCGGATATCCAGACATCCTGTGAAATTAGTGTTTTTACAGAGGCTTAAATTGTTTAAACTATGTATTGAAGATGAATATTCTGAAGAACTATCACAGGTCATTTGGTGGTTTCCCCTCTCCTCCCCAACAGCTCTACACACATTTTCTGAATTAGTGCTTTTGTTTGAATTTCTAAAATTATTTCGATCTCAGAAAAAGCAGAAAGTCTCCATTTGGCCCAGATGTGCAGAGCTAGTGAGCTTCTAGGTCTGCTGTCTGCTAAGTGAAAACCTTGGAAATCTGAGAGGCAGGATGGGCAAAAAGGAGGAGGCCCAATGGACCATGTGTGCCTTGATGGTGTGTTGTGTGGCAACATCTGAAAGTGATATTTTTTGAATGCCAATGTGAGTTACCGCAATAAGAAATACAGCCGCGTGAAAGAGAATCAACAAATTTAATTGCCATAGAGTATACTTCTTACAAAAGCAATTACATCATATCTCGTATGAAAGAAATACTCTTATTTTTCAGAGAGGTAAGGAACAGTGACAAGCCATGAGGCTAAAATAAGCAGCCAGCAATCAAGGATAACCTGGTAAAAACAAACTTTAAAAAATGGAAACTGCCACGGAGTCTTCAAGAAATATATATTTTCTCCAGCTTTATCAACATTATATTAAATGTAGTTGTACAGTATGTTGATTTTATATAAATATGAATTGCAATATAAGTACAACTGTATTAAATCTCCAGCACATCATGAAGTTGCTTTTTTTTGGTAGTGCAAACACTTAAGATTTACTTTCTTAGTAACTTTCATGTACACAATACATTTTGTTAACTATAATGAAGGAAAAATTATTTAATCACAAACTACTGGTGTAGAGAAATTGAAAGGGAAAAAAAGACATGCTGATCATGTGAGCTGCTGAGTTGCTAAGTATATTGAGTTATTAGACTCTCTAGCACTCATACAGAAGCATAATAGCACTAGAGAAAAGAGAGGACCCTAACACCTCCAAGTGAAATGGAATATTTGCGCAAATTCAGATGGCTGCCAACTTCACATCAATCTAGTACACTGAACCACCTGGACACCACAATTATCAAGTTAGATTTTTCACACCTGCCATAGAAGACACTGAAGGCTAAAAGCGTGTGCTTACTCGCACACATGCACAAGCACACGAAGACGATGAGCTTTTTTTCTTTTTTCTTTTTAAGAATTGTTTACTTACTCATACAGAACTGGGGTACAGGTGAGAGGTGCAGGGGTAGTGAGAGGCTTCCTCAGAGACAGAGTGGGGAGCAGGGCAGGCTGATTGACAAAGTACACTGCTGAGGGGAGCAGCGGGTGTGTCAGGAGAGGTCTGCCGCGCCATGTGGTCACCTCCGGGGCAGGCGGGGATCGAACTCATGCGGAAGTGGCTTTAGCTTCTTAGTGCTGTGCTTTAACCCGTTGCACCTCCTGGGAGGGCTGACAGTGAGCTTCTTTAACAGATGGAATAGTGTAGAGCATGGTAACACTCTTTTGTACGCACTGTTTCCTTTCTCCCCCGGTCATAACTACACTCTTTACTTGCTCTTAGGGCTAATAGTTCCCTGCCCCATTCTTTGATAATTCTTTGTAATTCATCTCTCCACCTTAGTTCAGCCAATAATCAGGCCAAGATTTTTCCTGTCTTGTTCACTATTTGCAGCGCACAGCAGTGAGATGGACACTTTCTCAGAAGGCAACCTTCAAATAGAAGTTGAAAATATGTGTACTTATTCTTGCTTCTAGAGACATAAGAAACAGAGTTTGAAGTTTATCATCAAATTCATAAGGATTATGAATTAGCATAATAATTTATAATCATGTTGTATATACACCTTAAGAAAAATAATTGTAAATTTTTTTCCACACCCTTTGTAGTGCATATTTTACATCTTTGTTCCTCAAGCTATAGATTAAGGGATTCAACATGGGGATAACAAGGGTATAAAATATAGAAGCCACTTTATCAGTGTCAAAGGAATGGCTGGATTTGGGCTGCACATACATAAATATTAGGGTCCCGTAGAACACAGTGGCCACTGTCAGGTGGGACCCACAGGTGGAAAAAGCTTTGTGCCTCCCCTCAGCTGAGTTCATCCTGAGAATGGCTATAAGGATGAGCAGGTAAGACACGAGAACGATCAGAAGAGAGAAAATCAAATTAAAGCCTGCTAAGATGAGAATGATCCATTCAATTTCATTGGTATTTGAACAGAGCAAAGATAACAAGGGGAGACTATCACAGTAGAAATGGCTGATAACATTGTAGCTGCAAAAGGATAGTTTAAAAATCTTTATGGTGACTAGAAGAGAAACAAATGTGCTATAGAGATAAGGCACAGCCACCAGCCCCAGGCAAACCCTTTGTGACATGACCACTGTGTAGAGCAGGGGGTTACAGATGGCCACGTAGCGGTCGTAGGACATGGCCGACAGAATAAAGAGTTCGCTAATGATGAACACAAGGAAAAAAGCCAACTGTGTGGCACAAAGACAATAGGAGATTGTATTTTGTTCTGCAACAAAATTTACGAGCATTTTCGGTCCCACGGTTGTTGAATAACCGAGATCAGTAAAAGCCAGGTGCTTGAGAAAAAAGTACATGGGTGTTTGTAGTTTGGCGTCCATCGTGGTGAGGATGATCATGCCCAAGTTGCCCAGCAGTGAGAGCATGTAGATGGTGAGGAAGAGCCCAAATAACGGCGCCTGGAGCTCAGGGCGGTCGGTGATTCCCATGAGAATGAACTCAGTCAGCACTGTCAGATTCTGTTTGTCCATCTACGTTAGTCGGGACAGATATTCTGGAAAGAGATATTAACACAGTCACTGTGTCCTTTCTTAGAGAAAAATTATTATCTGAAGCAGTATAGACGCTGTATTTGGAAATCAGTCCTACTTAAGGTATTTGGAAATCAGTCCTACACATTAGCATGTGCATGAATGTAGAGATGTTGATTCAGCTCAGTTGGGATGCCCTTCTACTCCAACAAATATTTCTGCTATCTAGAGATGTTCTGTTTTTCACAGCAGAGAGTTGGGATGTTTGTGATTTTTCATTTAGAATTCAGTTAAGTTACTAAGTAGCATAGTAGTTCCAATATCCAGCTCACAACAAAATTCAATAAATAATAACAACAGTGCATGGCTGAAAAACCCTTTTCCTGTAGAGATGGGTAGGTAGACAGGTATACAGTTATATAAATATTGGCATAAAAACCAAAAATAGTTAAAATTTCATGTATTGTATATCTGGGTGTTTATTGTACTGTTCTTTTTATCATATATCTAATGATCACATAATGGCACTTATAAAATAAATGTATAATATGATACAATATATGCCATGATAAAATAAATTCTTCAAGCCACAAGTTCCCATATATATATATATAAATGATAGATATAGATATATAAATGATAGATATATATTTATATCTTCTATCACATACACATGATATATATATATATATATATCCATTGTTTATATATATCCATCATTTATATATATTCCCATATATATGTATATGATGGATATACATACATACATACATATATATATATATATAAATAAATGTATAGATTTTTATCATTCCTAACTTAAAAGAATAGTTTGGGCACAATAAGAAGTTATCTAAGACTTCATTCTCAAACATAAAATTAACAGTTTATCTCAAGGTTGTTAGGAAAAATGAAGGAGGATTCAGTGATTCAATGTGTATATTTTTCTGGAAGAAGTCATCAAATGCCAAGTCCATCATAGATTTGCAATTTAATAACATAATGATAATTTATCTGAAAACTTTTCTTTGCTTATGTCAATTTACAGCCTCTGTAAGAAATGAGTCAGCAAGGTTATACTGATGGTAAGGAACATGTTAACCAGAATATTCTTTATTTATCCCAGTTCTCAACTTCCCCCTCTCCATAACTAAATTTCAACAAATTCGATTGCTATCTTATTTTTTTTCTATTTTGATAACATTTTAATGTTATTGTTATATAAATTTGCTTAAAATATTACTAGTCCCCTTGGGATATTGTCATTAAATCGAGCTATAGTAAATCATACGTAACAAATTAGATGCATTTTATTTTGCAACAAACTATGCAAATATGAAGGCATTTGGTGGAATTGGGAGAAGAACGGTCACCAAAATTGGTTTATATAATGAAATTCATAAAGATTCTCTTTAAAGAGAGAATCACTGATAGATGGCAACATAGAGACATAAGGAAATACCCTAAGGATACAATTTTCATGGTTTCCAAGATGTGACTGGAACTTTTTAAACAATGACATAGTATTTGATGGAACGGTCACAGAAAATATCCCCAAAAGTCCTCAGATTAAAATACTGAAGTAAGAGGTAGATGGATAACAAGTTGACTTTAGTAATTGTGGGCATTAATGCTTCTGGTTTTGACTTTAATAATTATGGGCATTAGTGCTGCTGTTAGTAAAAAAGGAATAGAAATTACACTGTTTATAAAAAAAACTTGCACATCAGGAGTCTATGAGTGAGTGATAAGCAAAAATACATTGCACCACTTAAAATGTAAACATAATTATGTATTATTTGCTCGTTACTCGTTTAAAATCTTGTTCATAAATTTGTAAACCTCTGAATTCAAACCTCTGAATTCTACGCTGCCTGAAGCACAGTCCTTTTTCATGTTAGAAATATGTGTTAGAAGAGAAACAAATAATACTGGAGAAATAGTAAGTCAACTTAAACATTTTAATTGAATGGGTTTGCTTATTGCTACTTCTTTGTCTTTTCTTAGCCTTTGCAATCCTGGGAAAATGAATAAACAAACTGCACATTCTTAGCACCAGGTTTTCAATAGGTACAGAAAGATGAAAGCATTTCCTCTCATCAGCGGTAGAGTTCTAGAAAAAAATTGCTCTTTCAGGATCTCCCTCGTGGCACAAGGGGTTAAATCTCATCACATGAAGCAGTCACCAGCCACTGAGGTCTGAGTTTGATCCCAGCCAGAGAAATGACCCCCATGGTGCAGTAGACTTTTTCTCTTTCCTTTGCTGCTCAGCAGTGTATTTCAGTCCATCAGCTTGTTCTGCTCCCTACTCTGTCTCTGGTGAATCCTCTCATCCCTGCATGCCTCTGGTTTACACCCCAGTTCTTGTATGCTTAAATAAACAAATCTTTTTTTAATTAAAATCATTGCTGGCCCTCCCTGGTGGCGCAGCGGGTTAAAGCACAGCACTGAGAATCTAAGACGGCTTCCACATGAGTTCGACTCCCGCCTGCCCCGGAGGTGACCACATGGCTTGGCAGACCTCTCCTGACCTGCCCGCTGCTCCCCTCAGCAGTGTACTTTGTCCATCTGCCTGTTCTGCTCCCCACTCTGTCTCTGGTGAAGCCTCTCACCCTCCACATCTCTGGCCTGTACCCCAGTTCTGTATGCATAAATAAATAAATCTTTAAAAAAAAAATCATTGCTTTTTCATAGTTTAATATCATTGCTGAAAACTCAATTTCAATTTTTAAAAGTTGTACCCATTATGTAATTATACCCATTTTTGTCAGATATTAAAATGAGAAGGATGCTGGAAACTTTACCACTGCCACAAAACTTGACACCCAAAGTCTCCCAGTTATCCAAATGGTGTGAGTTGTGAGATATCAGAACCTTTTTCCTCATTAAAACATGATGAGAAAAAAATTCAATATCCAAGTTATCAGGAATTGTTAACTTAGTTTGGAGGGGGTCACAAAAAACTAAAAATACCTAAACAACTATTTAAAAGAACAATATTAGGGACTAACTGCATTTGCTTAATTGTGTCACTTAAAAATATCATGTCTGGTGCTGCACTGGCTCTAAGTTTTGGCATTTTTCTATTATAGATAAAACATATAAAATGAAGATGCTGTGTTTTGACAAAGTCTCAAAGCGCTTCTGATCATCCAGTACCTGAATCCATGTGAAAATGTTAATAATAGTACGAGGAGACAAGGGCAGAAATCCAAATTCTGCTCAGGCTAGAAAGGAGAGGGAAACAAAGAACTTTTTGCTAGGACTTTGCCATGAGATTAAAGCAGAACTCGGCAAGTGTCACTGTCTCGCTGTGGACATTGGCGACACGCATAGCTTGTGAATATGTTTTTACCTGTAAAGCAGTGTCTGTCTTGATTCCCACGTGTGTTTCTGAGCATGGCATATTGAGAACAATTTATAGATTTTTTCACATTTTGAGACTCTCCCTGAGGAGAAGCCAACCAATTTGTTGATTATGCCAAAAGCATATGAGAACATAATAAAATACCAGGAGGTTGGCTATTAATTCTCAGGGACAACTGGTATTCACCAGTGAGTACCTTTGTTTGCTTGTTTCATTAATTAATTGATTGAAACTTCTATTTATTTTTTCACTTTCCACTTGTAACACAAGAGGCTTTTTTTTTTTTAGATTAGTGATTAAAAAAATATTTCCAGGGCCCTCCCTGGTGGCGCAACGGGTTAGAACGCAGGACAATGAAGCTGTGGCTGCCACTACAGCACGACATCAATTGCGGGCCAGGAAGGTGACCCACATGGCACCTTCCTGACCCAGCCGCTGCTCCCCTCAGCCTGTTCTTCTCTTCATTCTGTCTCTGGTGAATCCTCTCATCCCCTGCCCTGTACCCCAGTTCTTGTGTGCATAACTAAATCTTTCAAAATGTTTCTAATTTAATTTTCTTTATTGAGGTAACATTTTGTTCTACATAAGAATCTTGATTAAATGTTGTTTAGGGTACATTGAATCCCCATTTCTGTAGTGGTCTCCTCAAATAGGTGACACACTGGAGAAGAGATTGCATTGTTTTATTATATCACTCAAAATTTACATGAAATTAAAATGTATATTTTACAATGTAAGGTGCTGTTTGCTTATGTTGTCTTGCCTCCTTAGAGACAGAAATTCTCATTTTCTCTTTTCATAGTGAGTTGCAATTATTGATTAGTTAGAACATTTTATTAAGAATTTTTCTTCAAATCTTATGTATTTAATCATTTTATTTTTATTATCAATGTACTCTGGAGATGTAACATTTTTGTGCATTGCACACATTACTATACATTTGTAACTCTCTAAATTCTATTGCTGTATTTTTAGGCACTTTAGTTATTTGCTATCCTCTGATATTGACTTTTTCTATTAGAATTCATGGCATATTCTTAACAAATTTTGCTCGCTCACTTATGTAGGTAGATATTTTGTTTAACTGTCCACTATTTTCAGCACATTAAAGGGAGAACTCTGAATTTACCCCTCTAAAAATGATGTGAATGATACTCTACATGACATACCTGTCACATATCTACTGTTTGTGTATATATGTGGTTGTATGTATCATACCTAGAGGCTACATTATACATATGATTATATATAGGAGACACTATGCTGATAGCCAGTACCTTGGATTCTCCAATAGCTTTCTTGAAGGGGTTATTTTCTTCATTTACTTTCTGGATTTTGTGTTATTGTTGTATAGAGGGATGAGTAATTACACAGTACAATACACTGATATGTTTGAGGAAATTTGTCCAGAAGGCATACGAGCATACATTTTTACAAGTAGTATACCTTCTTTATGAATATAGCATAGACCAAACAATGGGATTATCACCTTTTACTCCTTAAAAATGTAATTATGAAATCAATGCAGTGAAACAATGGGTGATAATAAAAATATAGAAAACCCTCATATGAACCAAATTTGAATAAATTGAACCACATGAAAGCCAGACAATGAACAGTTCATCATAAAATA